CTTCTTCATACCTTCTTCTCTTCCTGTACCAGCTATTATGGCTAATTCGTCACCAATCTAGTCACCAAGCTGCAACTCTCAACTAGTCACCTTCAGCTAGTCCTTTATTCCCTTGTGGTTGATACAAATTTCCCCTACTGGTAACAAATTATATTCCTTCAAATAAAGGTGTCAGCAGATTACTGGAGTGATTTACAGTGTCCTGGTCACTGGATTAGAGCTCCTTATAGGCACCATCTCCAAGTACAGACACATTGGGAGATTGGTTTTCAACATACGAAATTGGTGGAGTGGGGACACAAACATTCAATTCATAACATTGAGTACAAGAATAGCTTAGCCTTGACTGGGTGGCTCAGTTGGTTGGAGCATGGTCCTGTACACCAAAAGGTTGCTGGTTTGCCCGGCCAGTGTTGCTTAATGGTTGAGTGTTGACCTATCAACCAGAAAATCACGGTTTGATCAGGGCATATGCCAGGGTTGCAGGCTCAATCCCCAGTAGGAGGCCCATAGGAGGTAACAGGTCAGTGATTCTCTCTTATCATTGATGTTTCTGTCTCTCTCTCCCTCTCTCTTCCTTTCTGAAATATATATATACACCCTTCCCCTAGTTGCCGGCACAGGTTTTCCTCCGGCACCCGGGACCCAGGCCTTTGCTCCAGCTGGAGCCTTCAGTGTTCGCAGCTCTGGAGGGAGCCTTCAGTCTTCGCTCCGCCGCTTTGCCCCTACGTATGCAAATTAACTGCCATCTTTGTTGGGTTAATTTGCATGCTCTCTTGATTGGCTGGTGAGCATAGTGGAGGGATGGTTAATTTACATGTTTGTCTATTATTAGGTAAGATATATCTATCTATCTATATATCTCTATCTATAGATATCTATATCTATATCTATCTATCTATCTATCTATGTTTTTAGAAAAAGGTTGCAGGTTCGATCTCAGGTCATGGAGCATTTTGGAGGCAGCCAATCAATGTTTCTCTCACATCGATGTTTCTCGTTCTCTCTAAAAGTCAATAAAAAAACCCCATATCCCCTTGAGGATTAAAAAATAAAAAGGATAGCCTACTTTCATCCTGTAAACTAGATTACTTTCTCCTATTGTATGCTATTATGATACCAGGAATATATCTCTTCTTCATAACCCTTGTCATACTTCAAGTGATTAGATTGATGTTTATATTCTCAATGAGTGCATAAGAACCCAAGGATAGAGACCGTGTCTATGCTGTTCACTGTCATAACCATAATAATAATTTTATGTTAACCTATAATTTATACTCAATAAATAAATAAATAAATATTTAAGTGAATATTTCATTAAAGATAGAAGTTGGTTAGTTTACTTTCCAAACAAGAGAATTAAGATGTTTCATATATCAATTTGACTAACTTTCAGAAAGTACTTCTTGAACATTTCCATTAGAAACAAAGGAGAGTAACTCACCCTGTTTGGGTCTAGAGTGGAATTTCTTTCATGAATCATACCATCCAATACTTTTCCTTTTTGGGGCTACTTGCTGAGAATACCAAAGTTCCAAATGGGGGGGAAAAAGCCAAATGGGAAGCTAAATAGTGCCTTATTACTAACTGGGAAAGCCGATCAGAAATATCTTACCCGTCATTTCTATTCTACCCTCATTCCACTAACAAATAATGAACTTCATTGGTAAGCCCAGTTCACTTAGACATGGAAGCCTGATGGATTATACTGCTTCCTCTTCACTGAATTTATGCTGATTTCCATGCATGTAGAAGATACCTTATACACATGGTCCACTTAGTAAATTAAAGCTGAATTTCAAGGAGGTTAAATAACTTTCCCAGAGTTACACAACTTAGTGAGTGGTAGAGCAAAGACTTGAGACCAGGACTGTCTGATTCACTGCTAAAGTCCTCAACCACTTTACCATCTGATGGACATTATAAATGAGTAATAAAGAAAGTGATGGTGAAAGATATGAGAAGATGATGGGGAAAGATTAATTTTTGAAAATAACTTGGAAGATACCTTCAATGAAAAGTCATAGATGATGAGAGGGCTCCAAACTATGAGAATAGCTTAAGTAAATGTGCCAAGGCAGAATGGTTGTGTAACAGTGAATAAATCTGTGTATTAACTCCCACTTCCCCCAGGAACTCCGATGATACCTGAATTTGCACAGGTATTTAAGGGCCTAGAGACTTTTTATGATAGGCTGATTTCGCATTTCATTCTTTAAATGGTAGAAATCCATTAAAGGCAGCTCTGTGGAAATCATATGATATGAGAGTGGAGGTCTTGCTGTGGGCGTGAAGAGCAGTTAGGAATTTGTTTCTACAGACTGAGTAAGAGAAGATTAATTGAGAAGTTGATGTGAGAATCAGAGTTACATTACAGGTAATTCTGTCATAAGCCCAAGGTCACAAAGGTAATCAATGATAGATCCAGAGCTATAACCAGGTCTTCTGACTGCCATTCTAATCAATAGTCCATCCACTTAAAAATATGTACCCAGAAAGCATTTTTAACTTTTAAAGAAGAATGACTTTGAAAATGTCACTCAACCTTCAAATCTCTATTTTTATTCATCATTGGATGGTGAGATATAAAGCATTAATTATTCATCATGTACTGGTATTCAGTGTTTAATTGCTAGTTAATAGCTCCTAATATATTTTAAGGAAATCATCTTGTTTGTTTACTTGGAAAATCAATTTCTGTAGATGAAGATGAAATATGCCCTCAACTCTATGAGTCATACTACAACTCTATTTCTTAATGCCACAGAAGCCCAGAGCTGGAAGCAAGGACCATTCTAAGTTTTATATAGCTTGAAGCTTATATAATTTCAGAGGGTGGTCTTTAAGAAAAATTCACAAAATTATTAATATAAAATTATATCTTCAAAATAAATATCACAATAAATTATTGGATCTTTAGGGATTCAGGTCTTTTTCTGCTGAAATCTCTGGCTATTTACAGGATATGCTTCAAAGAAGTGCAGCCTTGCTTTTCCTTTATATTATACTCTCTGCAACTCTCAGCCTTCATAAGGGCTCTTGTACGTGAGGAACCTTAAAGCTTAAGCTTCATTTGCTTCATAGTAAACCCACCTCTGGTTGGAAGGAACCTTTGATTATCTAGTCCAAACCTGCCAAATCATAATCCAACCTTTCAAGAATTCATATCTAAGATGACCTCACTGTTGTTGTTTTTTTGCTGAAAGGAAATCTCAGTATTACCTTTTTCCATAATTGTGACTGTTTTGCCCCTTCTTTCCTATGAAAGTTAAACATCTAAATAAAAGTATCAAGTGCGGAAGAAACGTTTATGCCTTAATATATACCAGTGGATTCCTTCTTCTCACTGCTTCATGTGATCCCTCATCAATTCTTGCTTGACCCATTGCAATATATTTCTTTGTATCAATATTGCTTCTATCTCAAGCTTTATACAAAGTATGTCATTGTTTAAATGTCATTGTTTAAACAGTCAATTGCCTTTTTAAAAATTATGAGACAATGTCTTTTACATTTAAATACTATTTAATATTTTATGGTGTTCACTTATTCTTATAGACATGCATTCTATCTAATATCTTTTGGCTTTTCATGTAATGCAGGTCTGCTAGAAATGAATTATCTTAGCTTTTGTTTATCTGAAAATGATTTAGTTCACCCTCATTTTTAAGGATATTTTCACTGGATATTGAATATTGAGAGTTTTGTTCTTTCATCACTTTAACGATTTCATTACTATCCCCCATGATTTCTGAGAAAAAGTCAATGATCATTCTCATTGTTGTTCTTTTGTATGTGTCATAGCTCCTTTTCCCTGTTTGCTTTAAAGGTTTTCTGTTTATGTTTGGTTAAAGTTCAATTCTGAGTTGTTTTGGTATTTTATCTTTTGACCAAAGACACTAGAGCTCATTTTAAAGCAACATATTGCTGTGCTCTTCAAATGCAATACAATACTAACTTCTCAGTCAATTGCTTTGTTGATGTCTGTAGTCATCTTTACTCTTCTTTAGCTGTTGATGATCTGGTTTGGGAATTCATCAAACTCTTTTTTATTTTATTTTATCTTACTATTAACATTTTGGGCAATTAACTACTCATTTGAATATCTGAGAGAGGAGATACAAAGAATGGAACTCAAACTTAACACATTGCGCACCAGTAGTTTTATTGCTAGCTTTACCCAATGGCCAGATAAGTTTCTACTGAACGAGTACAGAAAACGTTTTACAAAGTATCATACTTTAAAAAGATATTAGCTTGTAAGAGCATGTAATAAATAACTTCAAAATGCAATGGGTATTTAATTTTAAGGTGTGCCTTTAACATTTATGTAAAACACCGTGCAATATGAAAACACGAGAATGCTCGTGATCTGCCCTAATGTGTTAAGTTTGTACATTTTTAATATAACTGTTAGTTCTGTTGTTGGAGAAAATGGAAAATAATTTCAATGTTGTTTGTAAATTTATCATTGTTATTCTTACAGAGTAACTACTTCTAATTTTTTTGTTTAAAACCTGTAAGATATTCTGATAGAAGTTGAGAGATATACCAAACACAGTACAAATGCATAGCCCTATTGCATTTGAGAGTTAAATAAGATCAAATATATTAGAAGTAGCTTGTATACCACATAGGTTAATTCAAATGTTAAGGTGTTATCATCCTTGTTTTTCAAACTAGGAAACTGAAGTTTGGTTGTAATTCTTAATTGCTTTATTGGTCCTTGATACATGCTCTATACGGTATCCCAATCTAAGACAAAACGATCTGCTAGGTGATAAGGATTGAAAAAGCTGCTTGCATCACAGCCTGGCTTAGCTCAAAGCCTCTGCTCTGCATTTGGAGTCAGCAGCCTTAGAGATTGTGAATACTGTACCTATAAGTACTGAATGATGACAAATGTCACTGTAAGAACTCCTAATATTTTAAATGTATGTACCCTTGAACTGCATGAACTTCTATTAAAACCCAGTTCTCTTAATTTTTATTACCAGGTAACCTTGGACGGGTGGACCAGGTCTCTGAGTTTGAGTATGATTTGTTCATTAGGCCGGATACCTGTAATCCACGCTTCCGAGTCTGGTTCAACTTTACTGTTGAAAATGTGAAAGAATCACAGGTGAGGGAAATAGTGGATACCTTCAGTTTGGTTTCGGTAAGAAGATTGTGCTTTTGTTTTAGGTTAGGAATATTTAAAAAGTCATGACCATATTTGGACTGTTTTGTTGTGTATATATAACAGTGATACAGTTTTGTTTCTAGAGACATAGATAAATAGGTATAATATGTTGTTTTTTGTTATCTAAAGATTATTAAATAATACAAATAGATAACTGAGAACAAAAAGTATGCTTTAGAAACTGAAGCATTAGCTTGGTATGGTAGGCTTCCTTGAGGAATACAGTAAGAACCTATAGGAGGTGACTTGTATTATGTTTATTATGGTATGTTCTCTATCTCATTTCTTCTATAAAAACCTGTAAATCATTATACAATTCTCACAGGGCCTCAGTTTCAGGAAAAAGCTTTTCTTCTCCTATACAATTAGATGTTTATATCATAAAAACAATATGATTCTTGTAACTCATTCTATTTTCCCTTTGCTTAGGCTGTTGGAAAACTCAGAGTCAATTTTATAGCCCTCTCTAATGATTTTGCTTGTGTTTCTGTGTACTGACTTTTCAAAAAATTCAGATCATAATAATCTGTCTTTAATCATGACTTCATCATTTACATTTTCTAACAGTGTATGATTTCATAATCCTGTTCAAATCTGCTTTGAATGGGAGAGTGTATTGATGAAAAGAACTAAATACATATGCTTTGAACAAACATTAAAATATAATCTTAAGAAATCAGTTATCACTCTGTTATACTGAGACAGCTAATCATGAAAGACTTTGCACAAACTTTGTACACATAGTGATATGATTTTTTTAAGCAGATGAAAGCATAGCCCTATAACCTAACCTCTGCCTTCTTCATTCAGGGTCATCTATTTTTTAGTATATTTAGGAGAAGGTGAGGAGGTTGTTTAATTTCCTCTTTCAAGTCAATCTCTCCTGTTTGCTTTTTCACCTTCTTGCTTGCTTCTCTCTTTTTCTCTCAACTGCAACTTGCATTATGTGTCAGACAGTGGTCAGCATCTGGAGTTTAGGGAACTTGGAGTCTTCCTTGGCTCAGGGCGGTTCCTGGCCCACTGGCTCCAGTCGAAGAGGGCTCAGGAACAGCCACGTAACTTTACTGCTGATTCTCCCAATTCCCTACAACATCACTGACACAGGACTTTGTGTGTATAATGTTTACTGAAGTTTGGGGTTTAACTGGAAGGAATTAAATTTATGGGAGAGCTCTGAACATTGTTAGCTAAATATGATTTATCTCAGCATTTTAGGAGAACTGGGGGAAAGGTTTCACCCTACACAGAGGGCTGCTCAAGGATAAACTTTAGTTCCTAGGTTTGCTTCTGGGTTGTACTTCTCTTTCATGGGAATAATCCTTTTTTGGTGTTTTTTTTTTCTTTCATAGTAAGAGGAACAATATTTCTCTCTCCACCCACCTTAGGAAAACCTATATGCTACCTACAGGAGCTCACCTGACCCTAGGATTGTCCAGCTTGTTCCATCAAGACAATCGATAATTCCAAAGTGCATTTACCAAAGTCTATGTTACTGAGTCTTGAGAATATAACTTACAGCAGAGGCTTTAGCCAGATGTACTAGACTGAGTCTTGGCACTCTAAGTTTGGGTTCCCTATGAAGATCTCTACTATCGTGAGGTAAACACACAACCTCTTACTCTTCTGTGGGTGTTCCTGTGTCATGTCAGTCAGTAACTTACAGTTGGCACATACACACACTACTGATAAATGTGAGACAGTATAGTCAATTTATATGGAGGAGGGGGGAACATTTTATTAAAAGTGTTATAAGCCAGGATTTCTAAATTCATAAAGGAGATTAGTCTTTTCTTCTTTATGCACAGCATATGTGCATCCTTCAGCTTGCCTACCACACACAAGAATCCACAAACTCCTCCAAAATGAGACCTATTACTTTTCAAAAAAACAGCATTGTCTATCCTCATTATATCCTTTGCTAAATAGAGACTTAGTGGAAACCCTGAAATTATAATGTTTTTTAATTTTGGGCCATATTAAATTCCAACCCTAATTTTATAGTTATGTTTTTGTTGTTATTGTTTAAAATATCTCTTCCAGAGTTATAAAATATTCATATTACATGTTGAAGTCATGCAGCCTATTTTCGTAGTCTTGTTTACCAGTTCAATAAGCAAGTAACATGAATGTGTCCCGAGGGATTACTGAAATAAGACAGTTGGTGCTTATTTTTAAAGTTGGAGGAACCAATATTTTCCCAGTCTTTTGGATTCTATCTTCATACCCAGTACTATTCTACCTTTGTTACAGTTAGAAATCATGAACATGTTTATCTGGTTTCCTGGAGCCTGATGCTTTATCAGCCTTTCTGTGGGCCATTGCTTCATCAACTATAATCACATTATATAGTTATGGAAATCTGTCTCAAGAAAGCATAAAGATCTGCTGGAAAGATACAGTATATATCTCTAGCTCACAGGATATTTGTTTTCATGGTTGTCTACATGAAAGAGAATGATTTTACTATTAAGTTTGACTTGTGAGGTCTGTTTTCATAATGTCTCTTCTTGTAATCTTTTTCCATCTCTCCAATTTCCGTTAAAATGAGACCTGCATGAATGTAATCTAGTCAGGAACCTTATTTCGGGTTTGGTACTAGCAGGCAAAGAAATATTAGTCATCAAAGACTGACTTCATTAAATGAATGTTAAAAATCACAGCATCAAATATACTTTATAAACAGGTCTAGCTTTTGGGTTACTTTTCTTGGTGTTTTTAGGAAGTGATAAAAACTTGGAGCATGCAGTGCTATATTGCAAGGGCTGATATATAAACCTCCAAAAATAGTGGCTAACTAGTGCATTTGCAAGAGACTATGAAAACTGAACATCCTTGTACCTTTTTCTCTCTGAAAAACCTGTATTAAATGTTCTTATGTGGAAATTTACTACTGATACAGCAGAACACTCATTTGATGTTAAAGTAAATCATCCTATTTAAATATAGATGCCCAGTGAATGAACTTCGTGCACTTGGGGTGGGGAGGGGTTCCCTCAGCCCGGCCTGCACCCTCTTGTAGTCTGGGAGCCCTTGGGGATGTCTGACTGATGGCTTAGGGGGGAGCGGGCCTAAGCTGTCAGTCAGATGTCCTTAGCACTGCTGCAGAGGCAGGAGAGGTTCCCGCCACCACCGCTGTGCTCACCAGCTGTGAGCTCTGCATTGAGCGTCTGCTCCCTGGTGGTCAGTGCACGTCATACCAACTGGTCATTCTGCCTTTTGGTCAATTTGCATATTAGCGTTTTATTATATAGGATTCACAATAAAACTTCAGTAAGAGGAAAAAAAATGATCTGTCTTGACTATTTAAACTCTGTTTTATTTCCTTTATATTCTTTACATTTCTTTAAATTTATTTTCCCCTTACTGATTATTAAAGTAGTCAATGTTCAATGTAGTAAATTTGGAAAGTATAGATAATTATTAGAAGCAGAGGAAAACACATTCACCCACCCACCCATAATCTTACTACTAAAAGTGCAAATACTATTAATCTTTTGTCATATTTACTTCTAGGTTTATTTATTTTCTATTTTTGAAGCATAATTTAAGTTAGTACCATATATACTTTTCATGTCTTGCTTTTAAAGAAGCAGAACAGCACTATAAAGCAATTTATATCATTAAGATGTTATAAACATGACTATACAATAGCTATTTACTATTGGACCATTTTCTTACTCTTGGGCATTAATTGTTGTTATAAATAACACTGTAGTGAACATCTTTATGCATGGAATGTTACCCACATTTTATTTTGCTTCTTCAGGATAAATTCCTATGAGAGGAATTGACGGCCAAAGGAAATTAATATTTTAAAAACTCTTGATACATATTTCTGAATAACCACCAGAAGATTTATGCTGTTTCAGCAGTGAATGAGATGCTTTTCTTTGAATTTCTTGCTTTGTTTTATGAACTCAGATGGTCATACATTTAGAACAAATTGATTCTTTTTTCTCATTTACTTTGAAACTTCACACAAATAAATGGAATATGAAGCAATGTTTCAGGTCTTCAGTAATAAAGGAATTAATTGTATTCAAGCATAACATGAGACAACAAAGCAGACCTATTTATTATTTTCACTTTTTTCTTCATCAAATCCTTTATATGGGTGTGCCAACAGTTTCTTCTCTGAGGTATGTATTGGGAAATTAAAATTCCAAGAGACTAGATGAATAAGATAAATAAAATAAAATGGAAGGGATTGCAGTCATTGCAATTATTGGTAATACTAGTAGTCTGGTGCACAAAATTCATGTACATTAAAAGGGAATTAATTGTCCTAACCGGTTTGGCTCAGTGGATAGAGCATCAGCCTGCGGACTCAAGGGTCCCAGATTCGATTCCAGTCAAGGGCATGTACGTTGGTTGCGGGTACATCCCCAGTGGGGAGTGTGCAAGAGGCAGCTGATTGATGTTTCTCTCTCATCGATGTTTCTAACTAACTATCCCTCTCCCTTCCTCTCTGTAAAAAATCAATAAAATATATATTTTTTAAAAAGGGAATTAATTAGCATAAATATTTTAATATTGCTATTTGCCCTTTCTCTATAATAGAAATGTGAGAGATGAAAGGAAATTAGTAAAATGTATATGAAAATAATATATAAATTTATTAATAAATAAACAGTAACAAAAGGATATAACAACAGAGGCATGATATAAAATCGACAAAAACATGATATGAAAACAACAAAAACATGATATAAAAACAACAGTGATGCAAACAATGACTGATAAAGTGATTAAACTTATTCTAATTCTCTCTGTACACCACATTAAGAGTGAAAAGACTTTCAGAGTGCTTGACTAATTTCCCTTGTGATGAAGTACTTAGAACTTTAACTGTAACATCACATGCTCTTCAAACTCGAGAGAAAGCAACATATAACTGACCATGTGCAAAAACGGGTTCAGGTAGGAATATGCCTACTTTG